AAGTTTATCTCTGCAGGCTTGAAACCAAATTGTGGGAGAAACAGGAGAAAAGACAATCAAATAAATGGAGAATGTTCAATTTCATAGACAGTTAATTATATCTCACCATGCTTTTTACTGAGTGCGGTGTGTGATCGTTACGGGGCTGAACTGAACCACAGATGAACTGTACACAGCTCTGTGTGTGTGTGTGTGTGTGTGTGTGTGTGTGTGTGTGTGTGTGTGTGTGTGTGTGTGTGTGTGTGTGTGTGTGTGTGTGTGTGTGTGTGTGTGTGTGTGTGTGTGTGTGTGTGTGTGTGTGTGTGTGTGTGTGCAGCATGTGTTCATCTGCTGTTTGCTGCGGGCCTGTTTTTCACTTGGTCGCCATTCCTCGGACTTTACAAGGAGTCATAAACGGTCATAAAGCCATAAAAGCCCCTAGGACACACACACACACACACACACACACACACACACACACACACACACACAGAGGGAGTCATAAAGCTATAAAGCCGCATTCTGACTGCTCAGCTTTAATTGTGGATGATCTCTGAAGTTGCTCAGATTCCTGGAGTTCTTCAGCAGCTCTCTCTGTTTACACTCAGCTCCATCAGCTACACCGTCTGATTTACTGCGCACCGTGCGCGCGGAGCCCCCAAACGCGTGCCCGTTATTAGGCTGGTGTGAAACCATGCACTGCCGTGCGCATTATCGCCCTGTCGAGGTTAACCACCGTATACAGTTATACGAATGATGGCCATAATAGTATTTGCTGTTATTATTAATATATAATAATTGTAATATGTATTATTATATTTGTAGAGGACTCTAAGGACATAATCCACCGTTGTCTGGTTAAACACTAGCAATAAACTTGTATGCCTTTCCTGTGCTGTTTTACCTTCATGCTATTAGTGTGTTACTGGAAACATACAATGTTGAGAGTAACTGTTTCCAATGTTTGTTTCTGGTTGCGTTTTAATCAGTGTTAATAAACGACACACAGTTTGTGTAGTCAACATACAAAAGTGGCTTGTCTCTATTTTTTCTACAAATTATTATTATTATTAATTGTATCCATGTTATTGAAGTAATAGGTCAACAATAATAATAGAAGTAATTCATATTTGTTTATAAAAATATGATTTAGTTTATAGCCTAATTAAGTATGATTATAAATAATTGTATAATTACAATTTGAATAAAATAAATAGGCTCTTAATAATTACATTTCTGTTAGCCCATTATTAATATCATTATATCGATCTCAGTCCTATAAAGCAACATGTTCGTCGACTTGCTTCATAATGGTCGTTACAAACGTACGCTTTTCCGAAAAAGGCCATAAAACAAGGGTAAGAAAGGGCCAACTGTAAAGCGACATGTACCTTCTGTTGTCATTGAGGCCTACGGCGAGCGGTGGGAAAAGGGACGAAAAGCAGAGCGCATTGACAGTAATGCGTCAGAGAAGGTGACTCTGTCCTTTTGAGTTGGACACGTCTGTCTGTCTGTCTGTCTTTCATCCACTATCTTTCCCTCTGTCTCACCGCCCCATCGGACGGGATGTTTGGGACACAGCGTCCAGTCTCAGACCCCGAGTCCGCCCTCCTTTCCGCCGTCCGCTCCTCCTGACTGCAACACACCTGCACACCTGGGCGTGCGCGCGCACACACACACACACACGCACGCACACACACACACACACACACACACACACACACACACACACACACACACACACACACACACACACACACACACACACACATGTGTATGAGACCATAGGAGGTTAATGTTAGATTTTGCTATAAAAAAATAAAGGAAAACAAACATAAAAGGTGAAAGTACAAATATGCACATTGTAATACAATATTAGCAAGTAAATTACAGTTTATAAAGTTGTGTATTAGTTTTAATAAAGTATCAGTGCTAAGCTAAACACACAGCTATTTTGTGTGCATATTTCAGGACAGTCACATGATACAGTAACAGATATTTGCACACGTTAACCTTCAAGCTGTGTTGAATGAAGTCACATGAGCCTTTAACTGAGTTTAGCACTATGATTATTGAGCGTTTATAAGTCTGTTAAACTGACATTAGCTATTAAAATATTTTATTATAGAGCTTACCCTATTTCTATATATCACAACTTCAGTAATGTAGGCCAATCACATTTTTTTTTTTTAAATGCTCATGTTGTTAAGTTTTATGCTATAGGCTTTGGAAGAAAATAAAAACTCATAAATGTGCCATAGTGCCAAATCTTTTCAAAATGTTAATATCTCATAAGTGTAATTAATGTATTTTTTTTAATAACATTTAATCTGCTTGCCTAAGACATCATTTTGCACGTTATTGATTTTTTTTTTATTTGTCTGAAAACAGCATAATTAACATACTTATGAAGTGTTTTCAAACTTCATAATGCACCATTTGTTCGAAGCACTGAGGCCTGCCATTAATCTGCAGTGTGATAGGAAAGCACCACATTAAAACCACTTTTTATCAGCATGTCAATCCAGTTTTAGCTCAGTTCTTCCCGTGCCACACACTCAGCTAAATATGAACATGTCAGAAATCATATTTACTTTACAGCTACCACTAAATACGTTTTTTCCTACTCTCATGTCAAAGCCACAATTACTTTAAACCTGATCTAATGCATACTGGCTGTGTATGTAATGATAGTATTACCGTCCTGTGAGTCCCAGGCTGGAGAGATGCCTGTCCTGCCCCGACTGTGCTCATTAATGATTAAACCACAGGCAGCTCCAACACAATGCTGCTGCTTCCCGTTCCCACAAAGTGGAGAGGAAGCGGAGCGTCCTGCCAGGGAGAGAGCAGAGGGGGGAGAGGGGGAGAGAGAGAGGTCAAAATGAAAGTTAGGAACAGAGATTCACCAACTGATCCTCCACAGAAAGCGAGAGTGGAGAATTAAACTCTGAACGGTTATAAGAGATGCAGGAATGGACGGGGGTGGGAGCAGGAGTAAAAATAGAGTCTTTGTTTCTGTTTGTCAGAGGACTGTCTGCAGTGTGGCCGTGCAGACAAGTCAGAGCCTGTGAGGGAAGCACAGAGACACACACACAGGCAGATTTATTTATGGCTGCGGTTATTTTACGACCTCAGTGACACATATTCCGTTTGTAAGTGAGAATTAAAAGCAGGCCGGCTTTGCTTTTCTTTTTATTTATTAGCTTGCTAAGCTTTGCTTTCTTCCCCCTTTTGAATGAGAGGTAGAAAAATGATAAATGTGGGAAAACTTATATGGTTTGCTACAATGATGACCTAATAACATATGGATAACAGCTGATAAGAATGTAGCTGCAAGAAAGAGAAATATCTCAGGATGGAATAGAAACAATATTTGTTGTTTAAAAATATTAACAATATATGTATATTAAAGGTTTTGCATGGATCAATTGATAACAACAAAAATAGTGCTCACAAATAATATAACTTTTTTTTTTCTGAAAGTTTTACATTTCTGTTCTACTAGTTGTAATAACCTAAACATAACAAATGTAGAAAATTGCACAATTAGCTTTATTTAAAAGACCTTTTTTTCGAGCTGTAGCTTTACATTAACATTGTGGCTAAATGCAGGCTATTTGTTTAAATATATCTTGAATGTAGATGACCCCTTGGAAAGAGTTTCAGGCGCGAGGCTCTAATCAGTGTCAGGAAAACGGGAGAAATTGGGAAACTCCGAGACTGTTTTCCTTCCTCTTCTCCTTTTACATTTCATCCTAATCAGTGTCACAGAAGTAGAAAATGATAATTCACTGCGCGCATTGATCAAACTCCTGCACACGCACACTCCAGTAATTTCCTACAGACACAGCCTGGAACTAACGGAGTGTGTTAGTATGTTATAATTAGTTGTAGTATATTCTTCCTACAGTAAAACACGGGCCTGTCATCCGGGTTATTTTACAACAATAAAACATTTACAGATATCAGATTATCTTCACAAAATGCCTTCCAAATTAGAAATAACTCGTCCAATTCCGAAAATAGTCGCGATAAAAGGCCTAATGCAAGGAGAGGACACACACACACACACACACACACACACACACACACACACACACACACACACACACACACACATTGCAATGGGGGTGCATACATCTACCAACCGACCCAAATATACCAATTACAAATGTACAAACACCTCAATTATAGACGTTGATAGCCCACATTTTATTGTAGGGTTCACACACAGCCACACACACACACACACACACACACACACACACACACACACACAAGACTGGTGCGCTTCTGGCTGGGATTTACGCGCTCCAAATTCATTTTAATACGCTCGGTGTTATGTGCAAAGCGCCGGGAATATGTTTTATTATTGGGTTGCCTCTGGTGGTGCAGCAGCAACCATCCCCTCAAGGAGGAGGGGGCGCGTGCGTGTGCATGAGTTGCTGTGTTTTATGGTTCCAACAACAGACGGAGGAGGACACACGGGGAGAGAAAGAATCAATTTTACGCGCGGAGGATTCCGGTGTTATTGCGCAATCTCACCGGGAACCGGAGGAAGATTGGAAAGAGAAATGCAATGAGAATTAGAAAGAGAGAGTCTGAGATTGTGGAAGGGAAATAGGAAAGGGGAGAGGTGGTGGTGGTGTGGGGGGGGGGGGGGGGGCGGTAGTACCAAGCCCCCCCCTCCCTATTCTTCCTCCTCGTCTTCCTCTAACGAATGCCAGGCACGGAAGCTTCCCATTGGTCAGTGAGAGGTCAGCTGGTCTCTGCCTCCCCCGGTATACCCCTCCTCACCCCATCCCGTCTTCTCCACACAAACACACACACACACACGGCCCCCCCCCCCCCCCCCCCTCTTTCTCTCTGTGTCCCACACTGGCACTCAGCCACCCAGATACCCCCCCGCCCCCCCCCCGTCTCCCCTCACCCTCACCCTCCTCACCCCACTCCTCCCAATCTGCGATAAACTAAGTGATAGCAGCAGCCCGTCGGACTGTGGGCTATAAAACACAACAAATCATAAAGTGCAGGCAGGGGAAGGCAGGAGGACGGGAGGGAGAACCGTTAGCCGTTAGCCGTTAGCCTCCTTCTACTCCTCCTTCTTCTTCTCTTCTTCTTCACCGTGTGAACGTTGTTGTTGTGTTTGTTCCGTTCCCTCTTATCCTCCCCTCTCCTCTTCTTCTCTCCTTTCTTCTTTTTCTTCTTCTTTATCCTCCCGATGAGTTCCTATTTTGTCAACTCCACTTTCCCGGTGACGTTACCGGGAACGGGTGCCGGCGGACAGTCGGCGGAGTCGTTCCTCGGTCAGATCCCGCTTTACTCGTCGGGATACGCCGCTGACCACCCGCTCCGGCACTACTCGGGGGCGGGCAGCCGTCACCGCCGCGCTGCCGTTGCGTACGGTGCGAGCGGCGGCTGTGCACCAGGACAAATCGTATCCGGCGTCCAGCTACTACCAGCAGGCGGCGAACGGAGGGGTACGGCGGGCACCGGGGTGCGCCAGGGTTGGTCTAGGGGGCGCAACAGGAGCCGGTGCATGCGACTACGCCACGGCAGCGGCGGCCGCGGCGGCTGCGGCTGTGGCGACGAGCTTTTACCGGGAAAAGGAGCACCAATGCAGCCTGGAGGAGCACCAGCTCGCCCTGAGCCAGGAAGGCATGCACCGTAAAGCGGAGTGCGCGGGTCTGAGTGGGAAAGGGATGTTCGGGGACCCGATGGACGACAAGCATTCATCCGCCCCCATTTATCCGTGGATGCAGCGGATGAACTCGTGTAACGGTGAGTCTTCTCCTTCCTTTCCTTGCATATTTTATGATCCCCCACATAAAACTGACGTTTGTTTCCTCTGCCAGCCGCGCTGCTGTCTTTCCTCTCTCCTCTTCCTCCTCCTCCTCCTCTCCCAGTAGCTGCTTTATGATCCCCGTTTGTTGGCCTGTCAGTCAGTCATGTGCTCGGTATTTTATTGTCCGTCATAAACCGGGTTTGTTTGGGTTGGAGCTCCTGTTACTGTATGTGACCCGCTGACCGGCTGCTACCGAGCAGAGGAAGACAGTCAGAGAGGAAGAGGCTGTCAGGGAGTGTTGTGGGAGAAACAATGAACAGATAGAGGGAGAGATAAAAAGCATGAGTCAGTGATCTATTTACTGTCTCTGTCTTTTTGTGTTTTATTTCCATAAAAACATTATTGTTTTTTCGGATTGGATTAAGAAACAAGCTTAAAATTAAATAATTATTATCACCTTCTTACCTTGTAATAGTATAACATTTCTCTTTTGCAAACTTTTACATATCCTGCTACGGATAAACGGAAACTATCTGAGTTCCTGCTCTCATGTTTTATCATCATTCCTCTTCTCTTATCCAACAGAGCATGTATTGTTGACCTTTTATCGTTGACAGTGTTTATTCATAACTTAACAGATGATGTAGGCCTATACTGGGTTAATAATCTGCCACTTTTGGAGTTAAAAGGAGGGTGCATGACCAGTTTAAAAACAGCCCGAAATAAGCATGTCCTGTTTTACACTGTAAATCAACTTTGAGTAGTAAGGGTCTCTGCAGCAAACCCGAGTGTCGTTCTTTGTGTAACAGAGAAACGCGGTGTGTTAGTGAGTAAAGGAGGATGATGGGGGGGCTTCTGTTGTACAGAACACTCCGAGGTAAAAGGGATGAGGTCTGCAGAAAAGATATATACGAAATACACATATAAGAAATACAGCTCGAGCTATGTGACAGTTAAATATGTAGCTGACAGCAGAGTGGCACAGAAACGCTGAGTGCCTCTCCATAACTTGGTTTGGAGAACTTATTATTTATGACTCTGTACATTCTGATATTTGCTGTGAGCATGGTGCCCCCCCCCCCCCCCCCCCCCCCCATCAATGCTCTGCTTCAGATCGATACAGAAACTGAAGCTGCTGAACTGACAACATGGCGATGTGTTTACCACCGGGGGCCAAAATACTGTTAGTGAAGATCAGAGGAGACTCAAGCCATGGAAGCTGATCTTCTCCAGGGGAAAACCCTCTGAAATATTACCCTTAGTGTTACTTTTCTCTATTATAATGAATATTATTGTTGTTGTAATTTGTGCTGGAAAACAGCAACAATGCGATTCTTTATTCACTGATCAATGCTGCTATTCACGGTATGACATTAAAATGTCATTTGTGGAAATGAAATAGCTCAAATACATTTGTTTGTTCTTTTTATGACTTATTTTGGTTCCACATGAAGTCAAAATCATAAAGCCAGCCATTATAAGGAGAATATAAGTTTCGGTTTCATAATGGATGGATTTATTTACATATATTATACATGAAATAAAGCAATTGCAGCGGGTTTGCAAGAATAAAATAGATATTTTTCTCTTTCTCTCATGTATAAATATGAACACCATATGACATGCATGCACTTCTCAAATATTTAGCTCACCATATCAGAATGTGTATGCACGTGTAATTGAAGGTATAATACACAACACGTATACACATAGGCTAAGTAAAAAGGATGGTCGAGTGCCTGAAAGACAGAAAGTAGGCTACATTTAACAAAAAGAAAAACTAAGCAGAATATCAATTCAGGTGGTATTTTTGGAGTGTGACAAAACCCTATGTTTAAAAATGTTACTGTTGGGTGGCGTGACTTATTTATTGAATATTTAAATATGCAGAACCTCCAACCTCCCGCCATTATAAGTTTTTTATATTTTTTTTATGGTTTCTGTGTTTTCTATAGTGACTTTGTTAAAATGTAACTTTGTGTGTTCCTCTCTCAGGGACCTTCGGCAGCCCCGGGAGGCGCGGGCGGCAGACGTACACGCGCTACCAGACGCTCGAGCTAGAGAAGGAGTTCCACTTCAACCGGTACCTCACGCGGCGGCGGCGGATTGAGATCGCGCACGCGCTCTGCCTCACGGAGCGGCAGATCAAGATCTGGTTCCAGAACCGGAGGATGAAGTGGAAGAAGGAAAACAAGCTGATGAACTCCTCTTCTTCCTCATCCTCCTCTTCCTCCACGGTGAACGGTGTGGAGGAAGAGGAGAAACGGACGGAGTGAAAAAAAAGACTGATGTAAAAAGAGTCAAAGACACTTGAAAAAAGGAAGATGGAGAAAAAGACATGGCGGTTAATCCCTTTCCGTTTTCGTCCAGACTTGTGTCTGCTGGAAACTCCTGGGAAAAGTATTTTAATTTAACTTTCTTTACCTGAGCAGTGGTTGAAACATTTACAGGACAGGAGGACGGGGAGAGGAATCCTTTTTTGGATCCCTCATGAAATGTTTCCAACTCTTTGTGTGGTCTCAACATTGGGAAATCATTCGTAAGAGACTCGTGAAGCAACCACGTGACTGTTGAAAACACATCTACAAACTAGAAATATAAAAAAGAGAAACACAAACTTAAAATGTGAGAGGGGGTGGTGTTGTATTTTGAAGTATACAGTAAATTAGTAACACGCCCCATGTTTTGTTGCATTCCGAGAACACCACCTCACTTCTTATTCTACCTAGTTTTTATTTTTTGTCAAATGTACTTCCTGTCTGTCAGGCACTTATTTTGAAGCTTAAGGACTCGACCATCCTTTTTTCTACTTATTTGTAAACGTGTTGTGTGTATTATACCTTCAATTAACGTGCGTACACACACGAGGCGGGAGGGAAAGCTATTTGAGGAGTGTATGTATGTCCTATGGTGTTCATATTTAAACTGTATAGAAATAAGAAAGGAAAAAATCATGTAAATGCGGGTCGGGGAGGTTGGGGTGGGGGGCTTATTCCACCTTTCTAGGTGTTTTCCAACATAGAGGGGGTGTTAACCTACTGATGTTTTTCTCCAAACTACCTAAAGACGTTCAGGAAAGCGTTATATATATTTTATGGATTTTTACATTGTTTATGTTAGTGTTTTTGTCCAGTAATTACGTATATACCTATGAGAAATGTTCAATAAAATGTTAAGTATGTATTGGTTAAGATTCTTCATGTTGTTGGTTTTTCTGTGTTTTTTTTTTAGTCTATACAACAGTAGCATTTTAGTTTTCAAAGTGAACATCGAGGAATAGTTTCATTTTGATTTAGTGCCCCACTTACACCCGCGCATAAAGACTCGTAAACCTTTTACCCTCTAAATCATGCACGCACATATTTACTGCGCGAGAGGCAGCGCACGCGTTTTTTTTTTTGGAAATGACAAGGGGCGCGAGCTCTCGCTGATGGCCGGCTGCACTAATTGATGACCAGCCCAAGAGAGAAAGTTGACCTGTCCTCGAGCCGAGCAGACAGACCCGTCACACACACACACACAGACACACACACACCACACACACAGACACACACACACACACACACACACACACACACACACACACACACACACACACACACACACACACACACACACACAACACTTCATCCAGGCAAAGTGGACAATGTCCTCGTGACCCTTTGAACTCTGCGTGTCCTCTGAGTGACCGGCGCGCGGGGTCCATCTCTCGGCAGGATAGCGGCTTGGGATTCAGTGACGCAAGCGCGTTAACGCTAAAGGATCTCTTTACCTTTTACATGATATTTAGCTGGTATTTCTTCCAAAGTGAATAGCATACACTTCAATACATGGGAGCAATGTTGGTGCTAATCATATGACCCAACAACACAAAAATATGTTCACTGCGGGGGCTGGGGTCGAACCACTGACCCTCTGATCGGTGGATAGGTCTTTTCGACATAAGATTATTTCTAGCAAATTATTTCTGTGCTGACAAATTAAAACATGCACTGTAACAACATTAGCATGTTAATGCATCATTAATTGGGGATGTGGCTCAGAAAGCTAAATGCTTGTCTAACAATCGATGTTCTTGGGCAAGATACTGAATGCAAATAGCTTTTGTGCTATTTAAGTCGCTTTGCATTGAAGAGTCAACTAAATTAAATGTTATGTAATTTCATGTAGGCCTTTTACACCTATCTAACACCGAAAAGTCATATATCAGAAAATATAATTTTTGTTTTTAACACTCCTACTCCTGAGTCTTTTTTAACTTTACCACACTTTAGTTTGTTTGAGTTTCTCTGCTTTCTGCATAGAAGACTCCCGCTGCCATGTATAAGTTCAATATTCTAATTCTTATTGTTTTGAAATATTTCTATTGGGGTATCTGAATACTTCCAGTTGTGTTATCCCACTTGTTGTGCTGGCTACGTGGAATTGGAGTATGATATTCCATTGTAGGACATTAATAAATGGGAAACCCATTATAACTTTTGAATTTGCCCTATTATACCCCTTGGCTTGCAAAGAGATGTTATACCCATAAATTAGACACACAGTGTGAAAATGCTATTGCAATATTCTTATAAAAGTCATAATCAGTGTAACATTTTCTAAATGTATTCTATGCTGGCAACAGATCGCATAACAGTGTTTTAACGTCACCATAATGCTGTTCACCTTATGAGTTTTCCTAGAGGACTCTGACTTCCATGCATGTTCTATATTTTAATCATTATTAATGTGACATAATTTTATTTTGGAACAGATTTTTGCTGGAGACGTACAGGTCTTTCTCTTGTTTGCCTGCCGCATTGAGTTTATATATTCAATTGCTGCCAAGGGAATAGATGACATGGGTTCTCAGTAAATAGGTAATCAGCAACATTCAATTCAGACCATGCTCAAAAATTCCAAAGTAGAAGTGTTGTAACAGACAGAGAAGCTGATGGCCGGCTTGTGTGGTTCTATAGAGGCTCCTCTGGCAGATGTTCTATGTTAAACAGTGAAAGGCTTCACTGTGACCCAGAGGACTCATTTGACAGACCAACACTTTCTAACTGCACACACGTGTTTGCTGTTTTCATGTTTTTGGCAAAGAATGGTACAGACCTTTGTGTTGTCTGAGCGTTCTGTCTACCTTGTGTTCTCCTAAGCATAAAACAAGCTTTGATTTAAGCTATGCCTCTAAATGTATGCAGCAAGAGTTTTCAATTATACCATGAACTGGACACAATCTTTAACATTTTAACTTAATATGAAATCCTCCAAAACAAGGGCTCTTTACAACATCTGTGCACAGCTTGCCGTGAGGATTTAAGTGAAGATTGCAATGAATTGTGCTCACAGATGTGCACTTCATGTAAGAATATTTAGTGGTTGATTGTATCCATGAGCAATCTGAGCAGAAGCAGATTCAGGACGTATTCCAGTAACAGGAATTCTGAGGAATCCTCATAGCCAAACTGGATAGCTAACAAAAAGTCAAAATGAAGACAAAAAATGGAATGGAAACAAAATACAGACAAAAAAATCCAACATTCTGCTGTTTTGAAATCTCAAAATCTAAATAAATATGACTTCTTTTATCTGTTGAATTACTTTGGGCCAAAGTGTCAGGAAGCAGTTTCGAGACACAAATATCCAGTGTGCTGGTAATCTAAATATAACGAAGGGAATGTGTTCAAAAGTGTGAGCCAACTGGGTCAGGGCCTCCTGTTGCTCTCGGGACATTTCTGGCACACTTTGGCTTCTTTTTAGGCCCTCTGAATACTTCCAAATGAATGATTTAGAACTCATTTCAAAACTGTAGTGAGATAAATAGCAAATATGACTTCTGTTTTGTGCATTTCCCTGTTAGAGCCTTCTGCTTTTGTTTTATTTTGCCTGGTCACTTCCAGATTATTTCTCTTCCAACTGCTGGTGCCTTTTGACGACGTGTGACTCAGTGTGACAGCAGCTGTCTGAAATGTGGCCTGGAGCTGCTAACACACATGCCGGAGCACATTAATGCACACAGTTTCTCAAAGACTGCATGCATTTTTATCATTTCTTACAAAAAGATCTGGAATCTGCGCCATGTTCTCGTCTGTGTGCATGCACATGTGTGTGTCATAGCTACAACGAAACATGCACACACTAAGAGGCTTTATGAAAACACTCACAGACACACACACATACACACACTCAGCCAGACACACAGAGGCACCCTGGCTGAAATGCATCCCAAGCCGGGAATCAACAAATCATAAATCAGCAGATTTCCATCCAGTGTAGACGTCACAGATCAGGTTAACATTCCTGCTCTGCAGCTGCAGACAGAGAGAGGCCAATCACACTTTCTTTATCAGACATGACTCTGAGGGGAATGGTTAAATTATTCTGGTAAAAGTTATGGCTAGTCATTATAACAGTTTATTGCTATACAATACACTTCCTGTTTGACTAAGCTTTATTATTTTAATCAGCATTATGTTTGTATATCCAACGTGGAAAGGATGTATGCATACTGCATTCAACATGCGGAACAGGAAACACTTCAAAAGTAAATATACATTAGTATTTATAGTCCGTTCATTGAATATGGTTCATTTGGACAGGTAATGTGTTAAAGAAGCATAGTGGTAAATATCGATTATATTATTTAAAATATTTCAGTAAAAGTAGAGAAGTTTTCCGCGGCCCTGATTGCATAACTGCTCACAGATGTTTTGGTGCTTCAGGAGTGCGTAATGACGCAGTAAAGTGC